CACCTTTTTTTTTTGTGTCGTCGGAAGGCAGTTCATGTCAGGTAGGTCAAACTCCTTGATTAGTTACCAGTACACCATTCTCACAGGCACACACGTGTCTTGCACGAATCCCCCATCAGTCACATAAATTGGCACTTTTCTTGTGTTTTGCCTTTCGAATCCGTTTAAATGTTTTCCCATCATTTTTTTCGCCATGGCACGAATCATGCGGTTTTGAGTTCATAGGCGGCTTCCCATTAAGGGCATGATGATACACCCTATTTCTCAGACTTGTTTAACTTAATTTCAAAGCTTCTTTGTTAACTCGCGAATCGTGACCTTACCGAAGGGCATTTCTTCTACAGTTTCTCTCTTCAATCAGCCTCCTTTGAAATTCAAAACACGCAAACTTTAAATTCGAAGCTTCTTTGTTTGAATTTGAATCATTCCCCGGGGCCTGATGGTCGTCGACAAGAGCATGTTTTTCTTTGGTGTCGTGATCACGTTGTATAAGGAAGGCATCGCAATGAGTTCAAGTTATGACGCATCGCAGTGAAGGCAGCCTGTCGTTTGCTAATGAATTGGAGAGAATATTTTGGCAAATCTAAGGAACCAGGCCTGGTCACGGTTGTAGAAATTCCTGTTAATAATCAAATAATGGTATCAGAAGAGCTCTTCCTTTTCGAATCGTAATAATCATGTTATTATAGTGTCGTAAGTATTGCCTTCCATTTAAATGGATCCATTGATGTACGTTTATGAATGGAACTCTGCGTCTCATCGTTTCTCGTCGTCTTTCTCTCTCTCTCCCCTCCTACGCCATTATGAATGTTATCATACCTGGCGGCGCCCGTTAAAGATACGGCGCCGCGAAATAGCGACTTGACGCCTAACGCGTACCTGCAGGTTTCGCGCACCGTCGATGATGGCGAGGCGATCCTCCCTTGACGCCTGGGGGTGGGTAACCACCTCCTTTTCGATACCTGCCTGGCAAATCCTTCCTTGCTTGGCTGATAGCCGGATTCCACCCTAGGTTTCCGGCCCTACGTAAATTTTGCGGAGTCGGCGCCGCGTCATCGTATGACGGCGGCGGATCGGCGGATTCCGCGTGCCGTATACCCCCTGTTATCTCCTCATAGGATCTCCGCGCCAGGGTTTCCCGCGAGGTACGTTATCTCCTATAACATCTTCCCAGGCTCTCCCATAACATACCTCATATTAGAATGCGCGGAATGACGGTAGCGAAAGAAAACATTCGATTGTTTTCGCATAGTTAAGCTGATCAACTGATCATGGGAATCGCAGCTTCTTTCTCAAAGTCATGTGTCATGATCCTTTGACCTATCCCTCTGGCATTCCCCGCCCCCTCCCCCTCCCTATATAAGGGTCGTCGGGTAAGACAGTCCATCTCTGTTGTTACTGTTCACAGCAGTGGCTTTCGTCAGCGTTCGTCATTTCATTCATGCCGACTACTCGTAGTCAATCTTCGCTGGTACCTGTCGCTTCATCGGATTCCGGATCTTCGTCTTCTTCTTCGTCTCCGTCTCCCCCTGCACTGACAGGTACCGGGGCTGCTGCCCCTAATCGAGAGCATGTGGCACCTTTGGATGTTGGAGCCGGTGCGCCGGCATCCGCTTCTTATCCTTTTAGGTCAACTGCACTTACAGCCACGTTGGACGAGTCCCTCTCCAGGCTCGATGACTCCGCCGTGTTACATGCGGCTGACGTGAAGCAGCTCCGTGATGCAACTTCGGCTGCAATTACAAGGGTATGGAAGGAGGCCACGTCGCAGACATCTGCCTTAGCGCAGAAGATCAATGAGGGTAACACTTCTTTATCGCGTAAGCTCAATGAGTCGTTTACAGCAGTCGGCAGTCGGCTTGATGCTCTTCCTACGGTCGCGATGCTCGGGTTGGATCCCCAGACCCCTAGGATCACCCCCTTTTCAGGATCTTCTGAGGAAGGTGCGCAATTTTCCGTGTGGCTCCGCCGCCTCGAAGATGTCATACGGATGCGGCCTTCTCCACTCACCTCGGAGCAGAAGGCCAACTTCTTGATTGGACACCTGGACGGGGTGGCTCGTGAGAAAATAGAAGAGCTCACTGAGGGCGCACGTAAGGATTTTGATTCAGTGGCTAGTCACCTTCGAGCCTTTTTCGAAAGTCCGCAGCAGAAGTACGTCGCTCGCCAGAAGCTCTCTTCCTGCCGCCAGGAGCCCGGGGAGTCCTCGGCTACATTCGCAAACCGGGTTCTCAACTTAGTGAGAGCAGCTACAGCGGGACAGGACGCTGCCACTCAAAAGGATCGCGTCCTAGAGGAGTTCGTGGCCCGGTTGCGAGGCGACATCAGGTATTTTGTGAAGCTGGACAATCCGTCTACCTTCGAGCAGGCCGTCACCAAAGCACAGATGGTAGAGCAGTTACTTAGTGAGGCGACCGCTGAGCGCCTCATCACTCCAGCTCAGCCGGTACCCGCAGTGAACGCGTTGGACAGCGAGGTAAGTAGCCGGAACCAACCTTTTAACAGGTTCAACAACAGAGGTAAGTACCACAGAAATTTTCGACGTTTTGATAACAACCAACGTCGTCGCTTTCAGGGCAATGCAACTCCGCAACAAGAAACGCCCGTTCGGCCGGGACGTTGCTACAACTGTGGAAGAACTTCCCACTTGGCTTATCAATGCACAGCTCCAGTTATGAACCAACCCACTAGGAGGAAGAACAGGCCAGTTCAAAATTCTACCTATGCTCTTTCGAATCGTCGTTCTTACCAGCCTCCGCCGCCTTCTCGTAGGGATAATGCCCCTCTCATGTCCTGTGGGGTCCCCTCCAGTCATGCGGCGCCGCAGGATGATCCCGATCTTTTGGCTGCTCAACAACGTATAGCAGATTTATCGTTGACGGTAGGCCAGACCCAAGCCGAACTTAATCAGTCCCGAGCCCGAATAGCCGCGCTTATTCAGCGTAACGAGGATCTTGCTAAGGTAGCGTACGACTGCAAGACCTCCTCTTCACCATCCGCGGCCAGGAGCCCCTCTGTGCATTCTCTATTTCTTTGCTGTTTGGCTTTGATATGTGTCTCCTCTGTTTCTGCGTCGGCTGACGCTTGGCTTTGCCCATCCGAGAACCCTACCAACATCTTCTTTGTTCCTTCGGCTTTTAATTGTTCTCGTCTTCTTCCCAACGTAACGAAGCAACTCCAGTCGGTCTCCCTCCATGTCTACCGTCCCAACACGAAACAGTATTCTTCTCCTGCTTTTCTGTGCAAAGTTGTCCGCCATTCGGTATTATATTCCGTAAGCTTCTTTGGGGCTCGTACGGAAAACCATGAGGAGACGCTTCTACCAGTGTCGGCCGAAGAGTGCAAGCTTATGTCACGGCATAAGCGCTGTGTACACGGTGAGTTATCCCTACATGGTAGTGTATGGCGAACTTCGAACGTTCTTGATTTTGAATTTCCTGTTGCCCCCTTCGGCTGCTGCGTTGACCATACTCAGGCGGTGCATAATTGTTACCTTTTGGAGACGACGGTACATACTCGCCACGGAGAAGAGGTCCCCGATTCAGCTGCAGGCGACTTACGCTCCTGCCGGTACAAGGATGGCGCATGCATCCTTCCTGACGGTTCGGTTGTCATTTGGACGCCGGATCAGGAGGAGGGTTGCCGCTTTACTCCGGTAACTAAGATGCGAGGATTCTCTATGGGGGATGTCTGGATAAGTGAATCAAAAGAATTCGCCCTGTCCTGGTCAGAAAATAGTCAAGTGGTGTATGACTGCCTTAAGCAGCTAACCATCACCGATCAAGGCTACGCCATCGCCGTAGTTCGCCGAGCTGCTCGCGCAGTAGACGCTGGACTCGTCACTACAAACCAGCTGTCGGCGCAGCTTTTGGCAGTTGAGGGCTCCGTGCAGGACGCGGTGTCTGCTCTGTTCGTTCACGCAGTCCAAGCACTGTGCGATAGAACGAACGTCTTGGCTGTCGCTCTCCAAGCCGCTCTTCAGGCTAATCCTACTATCACGATGAGAAATCTCATAGGACGGAATGATTTGGTAGCTACCCACTTAGGTAATGGTTTCGTTCAGGTCCGCCGATGTGTCCAGGTCCCTCCCTCAACAATTGTTTTCCAGGCCTTCAATGAAACTTGCTTCGCCTACCCTCAGGTCAAGATACGCTTGAGCAGCGGGTCGATCTGGCAGGCTTTTCTTAACCCTTTTACAGGAGTGATCGTCAGTAGGGCACCCAGGATTGATTGCGCCGACGTTACACCACTAGTTTTATCGGCCAACTCTTCCTTGGTGCAATTCTTCCCGGTCAGCGGCCAATTAACCCCCGTTCCTGCTCATCAAGTTTTGTCCGTAGCCTCTTTTCCGCCATGGGACACTTTGTCGTTCTCTCCGAAGCTTACGATCTTCCACAATCTCATTCTCACCAATTTTAGCGAGATCGTGTCTGACTCGCGATTCCAGGAGATGTGGACGGTAAGGGACCAAGAGAAGCTCATGGGCCACGTCGCGCAGATCCATCACAGTACGGGGTCCCCCTCGAGTGCTGACTCTTTCGTTGGCCCTTTGCGCTCCCTTTGGCCATTTTCATTGCCGTCACCATTCGAAATTTGGGTCGCTTGTTGTTGTGCAATAGTTTCGCTAGGAGTGATTAAGTTTGTGCTAATCACATACGTAGGTATAAGCTACCCGGGGCTGTTGCCCCTTATCAAGAGAATGTATGGCACGACAGCAAGCCCGGGTACTCCGCCCGTGTCACGAACCCCACCTAATTCCCCGGTGAAGGGCCAGGTAGTCGCAATGCACCCTATTATCCCGTTGGACCTCGGTATCTCGAAGGTCGACATTGATGTTCAAAATGCATGGCCCCCTCGCGCTTCTATCGTTCCGATACAGGTTTTGTCATTCGAAGCGGATCGTAAATTTTTCGTTACTCAAATCCCAGTTCGCGTGAATGGGTTACGGCTTCTTGCGCTTATTGATACCGGAGCGGGCATTACAGTAGCCAGTCAATCCCTTCTCTCCCTTTTGGGCATTTTCAAACTTGACGCCTGCGTAGTGCCTTCGGCAATAGGAATGGCTGGCATTCCCGTCAAGTTCGTAGGAAGTGCTATAGTGAATTTGCAGATAGGTAGCGAATTGCTTAAGCAAACAGTCCATTTTACCGAAGGGCAGTGCGTCCCAGCGCAAGCTGATTCCTATGACCTCATCTTAGGGAACGACGTGTTGCGTAGGCTGCCAGCTTGGTCCCTTGACTATGACAACCGTCTATTCCACGTGGGTTCCGATCAAGTGCAAATCTTTGCCGGCTCTCTCGCTGTGCCTTCTAGCGATCGCCAAAAAGGGGCGACGGTCCGAGTCTCTGAGACCACTGTTCTTCCCCCTGGTACTGAGACTTTAGTCCCCTGTTATGTAGCTGATTCGCCCAAAGACGCGACATTGTGCACGGCGTCGTGTGAGGTGGGAGGTAGTGGCTCCCTTTACGTAGCCCCTACGGTACTCCTTTCCTCCAAACCACATCTGCTAGTCACAAATCCTACCACAGTATCTCAACTCGTCTACAGAGATCAGCGGCTGGCAGATGGGGTTGTCCTCGACGAAGCGGAGGACGGGACCCTTTCGGAACCCCTACCTTGCTTTTAGCGCCCGCATTTTAGCAAGTGCTGAGCTTAGTAGAGCTGATTGCTCGTTTTCGAGAGCCTGTTCATTTCGTGTAGATTTGTCTCACGCAGAGGTCGATGAGGACCAACGCCGTAAGTTACAGGAACTCTTTGAAGAATATCGGGACCGTATATCAACGTCATCTTACGATTTAGGTTCCTATGAGTTAGCTCCTATTTCGATCAAAACTACAACCGAAATACCCCCGTCTCGGTATAGACCAACTAGAATACCGACACGGTTTCAGAAGGAGCTAGACGAACACATCAATAAGTTGTTAAAGGCCGGTAGGATCGTGGAAAGCGATACTCCATGGGTCCACAATACCGTACTAGTTCGGAAGAGGGATGGTTCGCTCCGCGTCTGTCTAGACTTCCGTCCGCTTAATGACGTTACTATTCCAGATCATTATCCCCTCCCACGAATAGAAGACCTTTTGGAAAAGGTAGCAGGCAATCGATTTTACACGACCTTGGATTTAGCTTCGGGATATATGCAATTGCTCCTAGACCCCGAAAGTCAAGCTAAGTGCGGTTGGGCGACACATAGAGGAATTTATCAATTCGTCTACCTACCCTTTGGCCTTCGCAACGCTGGCGCCTATTTTTCACGAGCAATGGCACGCATCCTAGGAGGTTTGGAAGGTAATTGTCTCGCCTATCTCGACGATATCATAGTCTTTGATAAGGATTTCCAGTCGCACCTTAACTCGCTTCGCAAAGTCTTTGAGCGGTTTCGATTATATAACATTAAGGCATCTGGTAAAAAGCTCACGGAAATCGCGCGGTCCAAGATAACTTTCTTAGGGCATGAAATCTCGTGTTCGGCCTACTGCCCGGCCGAACGTAACATCCGCGCTATTCGGGATCTCCCGCGCCCAAGGACAGTGAAGGACGTTAAAGGCTTTATTGGTATGGCAAACTTTTTCCGTAAATTCATCAAGGGCTTTGCAGCTATGGCTTCCCCGCTTTACGATTTGTGCAAGGATAAGGCTAAGTTTGAATGGACCTCCGATCAAGAGAAGGCTTTCACCTCCATCAAGGAGGCACTCATTTCTCGGCCATGCTTGGCCTTTCCGAGAGACTGTGAATTTATTCTTCATACGGATGGTAGCAAAGTTGCTGTAGGAGCAGCCTTGCTGCAACAACAGAAGGACTCGTCTAAGCTTGCAGCGGTAGGATACTTCAGCAAAACCCTGTCGGAGTCCCAACGGAAGTGGAGCCCAACGCATATCGAACTATTCGCGATGGTTAGCGCGTTACGCTACTTTAGGACCACCATATACGGCAACCTTACACGAATATACTCAGATCATAAACCTCTCACCTTCTTGCTCCGCCACAATAAAACCCATGATAACCTTGCAAGATGGGCAGTAGAACTTCAGAGTTATAACATCAGAATAGAGTATCTAAAGGGTTCGTCCAATGTAGTAGCTGACTTCCTTAGTCGGAATGAGTCCGATAGTAATCGCTTTATCGATGGCACCCCGGAATCAGAAGATATTGTAGAGTTCCCCGTTTGCCTAGTTCAGTCACCCGAACCCGCTCCCGTCCGCATTCGTCCATACGATATTCTAATCGAGCAAAAGCAGGACTCTCTATGTAACTCTATAATGCATTTTTTAGAAACCGGTGATTTTCCGCCGACGGCGTCCGATTCTGACAAGACTGAAGTGATGACGCTCGCCGACTCTTGCTCAATTCGTAAGAATGGTTGCCTTTACAAAACGTGTCAACGATATGGACGCAAGTACGATGCTCTTTTTCTTCCGATTAAGCTTCGTGAGCCCGTTTGCATTGCTTTTCACAACAATCCGACGTCGGGAGGTCATTTTAATTGGAAGAAAACCGTAGGCAAAATTGCTCGTAAGTTCTTTTGGCCAACTATGAAAGAAGATGTGTATCGATACGTCCGTTCTTGTGACGCATGTCAGAGGAAAAGAAACCATCCGGCCAACCGCGAGCTCCTCTTGCCTATGCTCGCCCAGGCCGTTTTTCATAAGGTCTATCTCGATCTTAGTGGTCCTTACCACACCTCATCTTCCTCTAATAAATACATCATGTGCCTCATTGACCACTTCTCTAAGTACGTGATAGCTGCCCCCTTGCCTGATTGCTCTGCGACATCCGTCGCCCGTTGTCTCATGAACGAATGCGTTCTCAAGTTTGGGGCGATGACTGAATTGATCTCTGATAATGCATCTTACCTCAAGGGTGATCTCATGACAGAATTGGGTAAATTACTCCGTATTAATAGGTACTTTTGTACGCCGTATCATCACGAAGGCAACGGCCTCTGCGAAAGGGTTTTCGCCACTTTCCAAGCTATGTTGCGAACATATATTAGTGACAACCAGTTAGATTGGGACGTCTTCTTACCTGCTTGTGTCTTTTCGTATAATACTAGCATCCATTCGAGCACTAACGAAACTCCTTTCTTTATGATATTCGGACGTGACCCGGTTTTCAGCATTGACCTTATGTTCAAACACCAGGCATTTCAGCATATCCCATCCGACGCCGATGCCAGTCTTTACAAGGAATCCTTAGTGTCGGCCCTTCACTCCGCCTGGACCTCCGCAGCTGCCTATAACGCCAAGCGGAGCCTAGCGTTCAAAAAACAGTACGATAAATCGGCGTTACCCCCTCTTCAAATATCGGTTGGAGATCGAGTTTATCTCAGGGACTTCGCTCCCAAGGTCGGCCTTTCCTCTAAACTCTGCTTCCCTTGGTTGGGCCAGTTTCGGGTCATTTCAGTTGAGCATCCTCATCTCATCATAACCAGTATTACATCCCCTCAGTCTCCACCTAAAAGAGTTCATATGAACCAGATCAAAAAATGTTTTGCAATATCTGGACCGGTTTTCTCTTCTCCTTGGACACCCGTCGAAGAAGAGGCCGCTTTGACCCGTTCTGAGGCTGAGACCGCTGAGGTTACGGGTTACTCGCATACCGTAACGCACCCGTCCTCATCCTCTCCTCCTCCCTCAGTCTCTCACTCTTACAACACTCGTTTTCGTAAACGCACGACTTCCATTTAGCTTTTCACTCACTCCAATCTACTAGGGTCATTTGTTACTACTTTCACTTTTATTCACTAATTTTCGTTTATTATTACTCGTTTTTTTACGTTTCAACGAATTTTCCATAATTTTTCGCTATTATTTCGCGGTATTTGCTTGTCTTTGTCCGCCATCGACGTGAGCGTATCGTGACTCTCCGCATCTCCCTAGGCTCATTTGGCCCGCTTTCAGATAAGTGTACGTCCTCATGGACTCTGAACGTTCTGTCGATCTACCTCTAGACGTAGGTGATCCTGACACTGTTCCAGACATCAACCAAGCGGTAAACGACACCCAGCCAGGTAGTGGGGCCTAGTCTTCGCCCTTCCCGTTTCTCATAGCGTACTACGTCCTTTCAGGGTCTCCGCCCCCTCCGGTGCCGGTAGACTCTACCGACCCGAACGTGGGGGATTCCATGGTGCTTGATGACGCTTCGGCTGTCAATGATGAAGAACCTATTGACTGCGAAGTGACCGTTCCATCCCGGGACTTGGCCGATTTACTCATCGATCCAATTCTGTCTTCGTCTCAGGACATGGATACTGCACCTCCTTGCGACCCTGTCATTGAAGTGAAGGTCGAAGTTCCATCGGAACCACCCATCGACCAGATCCCCTTACCTCCTGGTTCGCCCCCCAACGTCACCTCAGGGGCGGATGTCGCCATAGGTGAGCCTACCGGAGCTGTTGCTCCTCTGTCAGAGCCTGTTGTTACTTCAGTTCCTTTGACGAATTCTACTACTGTGGCATCGTCATCGGGAGCGAAAATTTCCATGAAATTCTCCTACGCTAACGTCGTCGCTCGTCAACAAGCAGCCGCCGCTGCCAGGAATGCCGTGTTTCTCACTCCCGAGACGCTTCCACCAGCTCCAGTACGTCGCCCTCCACGACCTCGCAATACCGACGAAGTATTGACTACGACTTACCGACGTTTACCCGAGTTTACGCCACCGGATCACACTCACCATCTCATCGGGAGCCATCCCTGGGCGCATCTGGTTACATTGCACGATACACCTCTTCCTGCTTCGCCAGTGGAAGTCACGTCTGCAATGCCACTTGAATTATACAGCCACATTCCCGCCGGCGGATATCTCTCGACTAAGTTCGTCAGACGGCTGTTCCCTCACACCTTCAGAGAGAAGCCTTACGCACTTCGCCGTCTCCCGGTTATTGAGCTGATGCGTCTGGAACACGCCGTGGCATTCCGACAGGCCTCTCAAACCATCATCGATCAACTTGTTCGGGGATGGTACACCGCAACGGAGAACACGGCGCCTCCTACACCCGAAGGGTCTATGCCTGGCGCAATCCTTCCGCGCGTGCGAGCTCAGTTCCCCGTCTTATACCAGGTTGTCAACAAAGGATTTGGCCAAGGCGTCGTTCTAGAAGCGAAGGATTTCTTCATTCCTGGCCCCGACCGCCGGGAGCTCCATCTCATCGCTCTTGACCAGTATGCAACGAACGTCGAAAGCAACACTCGAGGATTTGATCGGTTGCTCCTCTCCGTGAAGGACCTTGTGTGGGTCTACACTGTCGAACCAACTATGGCAGCTCTTCGGAACCCGGACACGGCGCTCAAACAGGCCCGCATTCCGAAGGCAAACGCTCTTGACAGACGTTTCCCGCTGTTCTTCCGAGCGAAGGAGTTCACATTCGTTCCTCCTCGGCTGACCACCCGACGAACACTCGGTATCGTCCTTTCCATCGTAACACGGCATGAAGGCGTGAAAGGATTACGAATTGCTTTTGAAGGATCTCCAGAGGCCGTGCAGGTTTCCCCATCGGTGTGCGATTTTCCGGTGAGTGAAGCCGAACATGACGAGGTCGTTTCAGCCAAGATCAGGGCAAACTCATCCTGCGCAATCCGTTTCTCCGAGTTTCCGGCTTCCAGAGACGCACAGACGAAGCTCTGCTCGCTGGTGCGAGATTTCCTGCCAGCTCATCCAGAGGAAGGGATGCTCCCTCTGCGAGTGTTCAAACTCACCAACACCGAAAAGGAATGGATCGCAGACAGAGCAGCCTCCTTCACCAACTACGCGCGCAATCCTGCGGAAGCTCGCCGACGCATGGCGCAACTCTTCAACGCCGCCTGCTCTGCGTTGGTCGCAGTTAACGCGCTGGATGATGACAAAACGACCCATAGGCTTACCGCCACCGTTCCGAGCATGGGCGCGTTCCCTTTCCGCTTCGACTTCGTCATCACTGATATGTCGTCAGAATGCGGATGGACCAATCATCGGCCAGTTTACCTATGGATTGTCGGCTCTCAAACGCTCATCCGGACGACCATCGAGCAGTCGGAACACTCTTATGAAACCCGCTCTATGGCAGTCCGTCTCGTAGTGCCGGCTTGGGGTTATAGCTACGCCGTCCGCACCACCTCCAGATTCGCCACCATCAACGACGATGTTATCTCGGTGGACGTATATGTGAAGCTTGGATCTCGACCCTCAGGAGCCGAGCCGCTGTACGAGCTAATCTCGCAGCATCAGTTGTTCGGACGTTTCGATGAGGACTCCTTGGCTACCATAATCCTCGACACTGTCTACGGAACGCGAGTTACGCCACTCGGGTCTGCTGGCCCTCAACCAGAGCATGTTTTCGTTTCGGTCAATGGTCAATCTTTTCCACTGCGTCCAGACCAGGTCGCAGCACTGCAGATGGGTGACCGACACCTACCCATCCTTGCCATTCAGGCTGCTTTTGGCACTGGGAAAACCCTAATTGCAGCCCTAATCGCGATCCGTACTTACCTCGCCACCGCGGATCAACAACAGGTCATCGCCACTACCACAACCAACACCGCAGCAGCTCAATTCACGGATACCGCCTTGTCCATTGACGCCGCCAGCACCGTAAATATCCTTCGATACGTCTCTGACTCGGCGCTCGTGGAGGGTGCACCTCAGACGCCTGTGGACCTTCACGTCATTCTCAAGCGCCTTCCTGACGACTACGGCGACCGGCTCGCCCCTTCGGCGCTCGACACCTGCGTCAAGTATAAACGAGGCCGGGAGCTCCTGGAGCGCTTCATGTTCGATCGCGACGTAGCCATCGACCTGTCCGACGCAGAGCGCGATGAATACCGCTTGGCGGAGCGCGACATATCCCAGCTGACGCGCGATGCGGTCGCCATCATGTTCGAAGTTCGCCCGCCGGCAGTGCTGGTAATCACTACGTCAGCTCTACTCAACTCTGCCACCACGGACGGCATATTCAACAAGTGGATCGACCAATTCTCCCTCCTCATTGGCGATGAAGCATCACAAATTCCGGAACCGGCGTTAATAGCTCTGGTTACTCACGTTCCACGGGCTCGACACATCTACGTAGGCGACATTCACCAGCTGGAACCACATGTCCGCTGTCCTCGCTCCACCAATCCAGCACGATTTGGAGCTCAAGGAATCATGAGCATCCTGTTGGCAAAAGGAGTACCTACGGCGCCACTCACGACCACCTTCCGCGCCCACCCTTTGCTCAACGAGCTCCCCAACTTGATCTTCTACAACAACACCCTCACTAATGGAACACACGCGGATCAGCGCCAGATGTTCTTATCTAACGTACGGTGCCCTAACCCAAAGCTGCCATTCCTCTTCGTCGAAGTTCCAGGGAAATCCTCGAAAGCCCTTAGCGGCTCGCATAGTAATCCGGTAGAAGCTGAAACCTGTCGCGAGATTGTTCTGAGCCTTATTCGGAAGAATATTCAACCGTCTTCTATCGCCATCATCGTCTTCTACAAAGAGCAAGCACGTGTCCTATCCCACTTCGCGCAGAGCAACAGCATCGATTTACACACGGTGGATTCGGTACAAGGCCGAGAGAAAGACATAGTCATCCTGCTTACCACGAGAACAGGCTTTGACGCGGATCGCGGCGAGTTCCTCAACGACCCCCATCGACTTAATGTCGCCCTTTCCCGTTGTCGGCACGGCCAATTTGTCCTGGGTCACGAACAGTCTCTAGTAGGTCTATCTTATTGGCACGACATTCTCCAATGGGCTCACAATCGAGGCGCAGTCACGACGGCCTCCGCTCTGCCTGACCTCCTGGAGTGAGATGGTTTCTTTGCATTCTAACTGATTCAACAGGTAAGCTCTTATTATTTCTATACTTCACTTTTCTAAGTCCGAGGACGGACTTTTTTCGGTGTGGGGAGGTGTAAGAGGTTGTAAGATCATCGGAATGTGAGAGAACGGAATATCTAAGTGAACCCCCTGTATTGTTTCTTGGTCATTGATTCCCGGTGGGGAGATCGCTACTGGGATAAGGCTACAGGGTGCGAGGGCAGAGAGCATGTCAGGTTACGGTAGCTGACTCATCTCATGCTTCGTACTTAAGGCTCGCGAATGGCAACATCGAGAGAGGATGGAAGCTGGACCGACACACGAGACGGTCAAGGGACGGTCAAGCCTATCGCCACCGTGGACTACTGGCCTTCAGCGGCAGTCACCTCTGGGCCCGCCACCTTCCGGACAAGGACGTCGACTGGACTGATACTTATTCATCACCACACTAATAAACTGCTTGTTAATTCATGTCTTGGTCGCGCAATCTGCCGAGCGGGATTGCCGCTCCTATTACTGGTAGCAGCGAGTCCGACTCCGAAGAAGGCGAGTCAGTTCACTTTTGGCTTTCTCAGGTGAGTTCTATTGTTTCCTCCTGGCTCTGTTGAGCCTGAACACGAGAATGAGACTGGCCACCTCTTTTCGTTTCTATAGCTCAACAGTCATTGATAGGCTCATCTCGATCAATCTTTCATTCTCTCCTGTGATCTCCGTCTTCCACCCCCTTCTCGTTCGGATCCGTTAAAATAGAGGTTGATCAACCCCC